CTTGTTTCATTCTGGAAGAATCTTCAGCTTCACGAGCTGCTGCACACCACTTTGAACGCATCTTAAAATTTTAACGCGTGCTTTCAAGCCTGTCTTTCAAGAGACGCGGCTTCCTGCTTGCTTTCCTTGCACAAGAACTAGACATCGAGGACCGGGGTCTGCGTTTCGCACAGAAAGTTGTGGCACATGGTAAGGTCTGCCACCCCGGATCCTTTCTGCTCCATCCCGTGCTCCCCATATGGGCGGGTGCGTGTGCTTCCCAAGGCTGGTCGAGGCACCGTTTCCGGCCCCTCTTATTTCATCCTTGTGAACAGCCTCCGTCCCTGCATCCTGAGGCTGTGGACCAAGACCACGGCGCCTGCATGACCTTTGATTTCCCGTCCTTTGGAATAGTGACAGAGGGCGGATTCTAGGTCTCTCTTCTTGATACTTTTGGAGGTGCAGCTCAGCCGACGTTGGGGTCATATCCCTGGCTTATTGGCTTCTCAAGGTAACAAAGATTTGTCCCGATTGTGTCTCGGAAGTCTGGGTTAGTATCCAAGGCAATGCAGGGCTGAGCTTCCTTCCCGGAACTGTGTTGCATGGACACTTTTATAAGCGGTTTCTCAAAGTTGTTATTATTTTGCATGTTTGTTGACCTGGCTGTTATTGTCATTATTACTGGCAGGGAGCATGCCAAGGGCCTCAGACACGCGGAGCTATGCCCCGTCATGGAACAACATGCCCTGCCCGGCCTGCACCGTGGCCTGTCCAGTGCGGCAGTGGACGGACTGTCTAGAAAGGGGCAGAAAGCTTCAACCTCGTGCCTCGGTCATACCTTCTTCTTTTTTTACTTTTGTTTTACTACTTTACAAATATTTTCACTCCGGGGGGGGGGGGGGGGGCTGAAGGGACCATATGGGATGCAGAGTTCAAACCCAGATCAGCTGCATGCAAGGCAAGTGCCCTACCTATTGTACTATCTCTCTGGCCCTCACTGTTAGATCATGGTTTGGTAATTTGAACATAGAAATCTTGGCCGTGTGGGCCCCGGGTGTGAAACGGTGCTGGTTCCGTGTGTGCCAGGCTTCCCCCCAGATGCCGTGTTGGGTGGTCTGCTGAGGAGCCTCAGGGGTCCTTGTTCCCCTCCCTCTGGCTCCTTGCCCACGCGCAGAGGGATGCTGAATCTGCCTCGTGCCTGCCTGGAGCGAGTGCAGGTGCTCGCCTGTCAGGCTGAGGCGCAAGATTCTCCCCAGCACCTCAGCTGCGGGCCCAGACGCTCCCTCTAAGGCAACAGAGATTCTTTCTGTTTCTTTGTTTTGTGTTCAGGGCTTACTCCGGGTTCTGCACTCAGAGTGGGACTCTGGTGGGACTCGGGGACCAAATCTGGGTCAGCTGCGTGCCAGGCCAGTGCCCTAGCCCTGTATTATCTTTAGGAGCATTTATAAATCGACATCATGTAATAGCACTGTAGCACTGTCCTCCCGTTGTTCATCGATTTGTTCGAGCAGGCCCAGTAATGTCTCCTTTTGTGAGGCTTTGTTGTTATTGTGTTTGGCATATCGAATACGTCACGAGTAGCTTGCCAGGCTTTGCCGTGCGGGCGAGATACTCTTGGTAGCTTGCCGGGCTCTCCGAGAGGGCAGAGGAATCGAACCCGGCTCGGCCGGGCTGGCTGCATGCAAGGCAAACGCCCTACCACTGTGCTAAAAAATAGAAAAACATGGGTCAGGTGTAAGAATCGGATGTGACGACATGATTCAATGAGGGGTGTCAATTCCTAGAGACTCGCTGCTCGCACTCACATTGAACATGGTGACGCTTGTCTGCGTCCTGCTGCCAGCTGACAAAGCTTAAGGGGACCCTCAAGGGGACCCTTCTTGTGAGAGCCTCCGGCTCCGTGACAGGCCTCACACACTGTCCCACCACACCTGCCGGCTCGGGGTTCTGGTTCAGAAGTAAAGAGACCAAGGGAGGGTCGTGCATCACGCTCCAGGCAGTTCTCCTGCTGCCCTTTCCTCGAGATTGAGAGCTGGCTGGAGTCTTGTTCCGTGCTCAGCGGAGCATCAGTCCAGACTAAAGCCTGCAGCGCACAAAAAGGAAATGCCTGAGGGTGCCCGGAGCAGCCGGGCATGTGGCGCGGGCTGGGCCCGAGGTCCTCTCTGCCTTCATGTGTCGCGGCCTCTTCAGGACCCACCCAGGCCTCCAGCTGTCCCTCAGTGAGTGGCCGCTGCTGGCCTGGTCCCCGGGCCGCGGGTTGGGGGGGGGGGCCTCTCTGTTACTGCTTCAGACAAGCTCGGGTTTTCTGGGGGCCTCCAGGGATCCCTGTGCTTCCGGAGGAGGCCGGTACCCTCTGCAGAGCCAGCTCCTTCCTGGCCCTCCCGTCACTGGTTTCGCATGGTTACAGTGTGCCTTTGGGAGGTGTGGGGGGGTCACTCCCAGCAGTGCTCAGGGCTCACTCCTGGCAGGGCTTGGGGGCATTTGGTGTGGGGTCAGACCCGGTGCCTCACCCGCTGGGCTCTTTTTCTTGAGTCCTCCCCGCGCCTGTAGCCCCCTGTGAGGGCCCCCCGGGGACAGACCGTGCCGAGCCTGGGGGGCACATGTGTGTTCTATCCCAACAGTGGCTCGGAGTGTGGCCATTGTGGAAGTCAGTGTTGGGACCAGCTCCCAGCGCCGCCGAGACCCAGAGCTGTTGCTCTTCCTGCTGGGGGTTTCCTGGTTTTCCTTCCAGAAGCACAGCAGGATGCTTTGTTTTCGTCCCCTGGAAGTGCTGTGGTGCTTAGAGGCTGCTTCCGGCCTTGTGGTGAGCACCTGCTGGGGACCCTCGCCTTTGGGGGGCTCCGTTCAGGGGCTCTGCCTTCCCGCTCCTCCCGTTTTCTCAACTTTCCCTTGTCTTACAGTGCTCTCTCTCCCCCCTCCCGCCCTCTGGGTGGGGCATGTTTAAGGCCGTTCCCAACCCTCAGCCCTCTTCTCACTCTCTTTCTTAGAAGATCTCAACTATCATGTAGGGTGGGGGCCACACCCAGAGGTGCTCAGGACTTAGTCCTGACTCAGTGCTCAGGAGTCTCTCCTGGTGGGATTTGGGGGACCATGTGGGATGCTGGGGATCAAACCAAGCGCTTTCACCCCAGCCCCAGTTTTTCTGTTTTGTTAAAAATATTTTTGTTTTGTTTGGGGGCCACACCTGGCAGTGCTCAGGGCTCACTTCTGGCTCTGTGCTCTGGAGTCAGTCCTGTCAGGCTCAGGGAACCATCAGGCCGGCCAGGGATCGAACCGAGGCTGAGAGGCAGGTGGGTGCAGCTGTGCTCTCTCTCCAGGCCCTGTTGCTCTGCCGTTTGCGCCTTTGCTTTTTTTTTTTTTTAACTCCTCTCTCACCCCTCCTCCTCGGCTTCTTGGACTCTAGTTCCAAACTTCTGGGCATCTTCCATGCGTGTCAGGCTGTCCGTTGGCCTTCCTCGCTGTGAGTTCGGGTGGGTTCCAGACTCGTTCTTCAGCAAGGCACAGACAACACTGCCGGTGAAAGACAGTTCTTTCTTTCACCGTTCTTTGGAGGGTTCATCCCTTAAAGGGGGGCGCAGGTCTGCCAGAAGATTCCTATCTAGAAGATAGAGACTCTCGATTCTATTATTAATATGCTAAACAACTTTTGCGCCTCAGCCATTAGCTCCAAAAGTGTACAAGAAAAGCTTTGTAACCGTATCTCACAGTGATTAAAAAATAATAATAAAATAAAATTAACTTTCTGAATTAAAAGTAATGTGGAGTTCATGCCCGATTCAATCAGTTTAATCAATGCTGATTAAATAGCAGTACCCCTGCATTTAAAAAAAAAAGTGTACAAGAGACTTGAACCAAACACATTCCACAGACGAGGAAATAGACTTGGCCGCAAACCTGGAGACGTTCCCAGCACCTGTAACAGGGAGTGAGGGTCCCACCCACGGGAGGAGTGTCCACTCAGCAGAGGCCCAGTGAGGCTGAAACCCTCCGGCGTCCTCAGAGAGTCACTGGGTCCCCTGCTGCTTCGGAGAAAAGCGCAGCAGAATTCCACTGCCGGGGCGTGCCCAAGAGTGAGTCTCTCGCAGGAGACGTGCAAAAGGGGACGCGTGCGACTAGAGCCCGAGCAAGCTGCCCGTGCTGCAGAAAACCTGGAGACAGGGAAAGACCCAACAGCGAGAAGGGAATGTGGCCCAACGGCCAGGGCCCTGGGAAAGGCCACCGCGAACGACTTAGTGCAGTGATGAGAGAAAAGCTAGCCCTGCGACATTAGCGACAGCGTGGAACACCTTTATAAACAGAGACCATAGGCACACGTCTCCATTGTAAATAAGTCACACGTGACAGTTCACAGACGCAGCGAGAAAGAAGCGAACGAGAGGAACTTGGGCAGAGACGCAGAAGGGACGTCACTTCAGACAGAGAAGCAGATCGAAGGGTGGGCGGACCGTCAGCCAGAAGCAACCGCAGCCAGGTTCGAGCTGTTGTTTCAGGCGGAGCTTGGCCTGGCTACAGCGCTGGAAGAAGGAGCTCCTTGGGAGGAGCCCAGGCGATGACCGTCCCGTAGGGCTCTGGCCTTGCATGCCGCAGCCCTCTCTGACCCCCAGCAACACATACGGTCCCCTCAGCCCGCCAGGAATGATCCCTGAGCACAGCTGGTGTGGCAGAAGAAAAAAAAAAAAGAAAATTGATTAGAACCTTATTAGATACTTGAAAAATAATCAGCCTGAAGGGGCTGGAGTTCCCAGGGTGAACGAAGTAGAGATTCTTGCTTTCGTGGATTCCAGCTCTTCAGTTTTTCTGCCTTGTTTTGATTTTCAGAGACGCCTTCTGAATCCTGGAACAAGTGTTTTGCTGCTGAAAGTCGTGAGAGTGTCTGTTGCTTGAGTGTTAACCAATAAAGTTCTACAGGCCGGCCCACGTGCTCCTGAGTGTCCTGTCCTTCATAGAATATCGGTATAAGTATCTGTTGGCGATTTCTGTGCTTTCATAGAAATTTTGCATTTCTTTTCCCCTTTTCTTAGGACAAAGTTAAACTATAACCCTCCAAAAGATGATGGATCGACCTATAAGATCGAACTTGAAGGGATATCGGTGATGGTCATGAGAGAGATTCTGGATTACATCTTCAGCGGGCAGGTACGGCGAGAGGTGGGGGTGGGGGTGGGGCAGCGGGGGGAGGGGAGGACTGCGTGGGGCGGCCTGGCGCGGGGGACGGTCCGTGGGCACCTTACCCGGGGTGCCATCACCTTCATTGTCATTGCTGTGGCCCCAGGAGAGCCCCAACCTTAAGGGGGCCACGTGCAAGAGACACTGCCAGATGAGTTTCAGCCCTGGACGGGGAGACCCAGCCCGCTGCCCAAACTCCTTGGTTCCTGCTTTGAGATCTCGGGCCCATTGCACAGTGGGCTTCAGCCACGCGAGCCCGGGTCCCATAAACGACCTCACATCTGTCCCCCACTTAATACAGTGTAAGGAAGGAAGTGACAGGTGAACGGACTTCTCTTTTCCTCCCCCCACCCCCAGGATGCTGTCTAAAGTGTCTCCCGGGCACTTGGAGACAGACCTTAGGCGTGCGCAAGCCCTGGGTCACGGGGGCCGTGAGTCTGACTGCGCTTCCGTGGAATTAGAAACTCGCACCTCTCTTCTCACGGCACTTTTGTTCTCTCTCGGCTCCTGCTTGGTTTTCTCTTCTTGGGGCTCCGTCTCCCACGTTGTCCCAGGGGTTCAGAGCCCATGAGACCGCTTTTCTCGTGCTGGTGTCCCGGCCAGAGCCGGCCTTGGTCACTGTCAGCCTTTGGGGTCTGGGTGCCACACCGGCCCCCTCTTTTCTCCGAGGCCCCGTGTGTGCGTGCGTGTACAGTGGATGAGGTACATTTGGGGGCCCTTGAGTTCCGGAGACTCCCTGGCACCCCAGACCTGGCTCCTCCAGCAGCCTCCCCGCCGGGCAACTGTCCGCAGGGGACACAGCCCAACACCGCACATTCACGCAGGGCCCGCAGCCCGGGGGACCCCCCACCCTGACCACTCTGTGAATCAGGGCCCAACCCATCAAGCCGGGTTCCGAGCCCACGCTGTGGCCTATGTTGTGACTGACAACGAGTTCAGCACTCCCGTCTGGTGAGGGCGGGATTTAGTGTTTCTCAGACGCTGCATCTGGCCGCTCTGCAACCCCCCCCCCCCCCCCACTGTCTTGGGTTTGAATTTAACGCTGCCCATAAATAAGAAACGCCCCTTTGCCAGCCACCCGAGGCCACGGGCAGTTGCGCTGCTCTTGGTGCGTGAGGAGAGGGGCTGAGGGGACGGAGCAGCAAGTCCCCAGAAAGACAAAGGAAATGAAAGGAAAGTAGATGTTTTCTGTGGTCTTTAAGGGTCTCACGTTAGGCCCCGAGGACTGCCCGCGGTGACCCTGCTGTCCTCAGCCCTGCTGGGACTGGACATCGGATCGTACCATCCGGCCCAGCTGGTGCAGTCTCGTGGGGAGTGACCCCGGGCCCCTCAGCGTTGTTGGGGAGACTGTCGTGTATTGGGAATTTATCCCGAAAAACCCCGCCGAACGCACCTGGGATGTGTTGCCAGGGTGCGGCCCGCAGCAGGTGACCATCCCTCTTCTCAGAACTCTAGTCATCTGGCAAGAAGGCAGGGCTGACCGTCTCCAGGCTCTCATCACCAGGGGCTGCTCTGTAACTGGGTGGACGTGAGCGCCCTGAGGCCAACTCAGAAGGGCCATGGCGATGTTGAAGGAACCCGCTCGGGAGAGGGCCCGGCCACGCGTTGCTGAGGGCTCGGAGGGGTTCTTGCTTCTTATGCTCAAAGAAGACAGTACAGTTGGACTGTGTGAAGTAGCCAGTGGTCATTGGGGGGGGGGGGGGGCACTTTCTGTGGAGTACAGAGACCGTTCACGTGGCCCTGCAGTGGGGGTCTGGGTGTGAAACGGAGACGTTGGCGTCACGGGTCTCTGGGCTCCTCGCAGATCCGCCTGAACGAAGACACCATCCAGGATGTTGTCCAGGCTGCTGACCTGCTCCTGCTCACAGACCTGAAGACTCTGTGCTGCGAGTTCCTGGAGGGCTGCATCGCCGCCGAGAACTGCATCGGCATCCGGGACTTCGCGCTCCATTACTGCCTGCACCACGTCCACTACCTGGCCACCGAGTACCTGGAGACCCACTTCCGGGACGTCAGCAGCACCGAGGAGTTCCTTGAGCTGAATCCACAGAAGCTAAAGGAAGTGATTTCTCTGGAGAAGTTGAATGTTGGCAATGAGAAATACGTATTCGAGGCGGTGATCCGATGGATAGCGCACGATACGGAGATCAGGAAGGTAACGCTGGCCGACGACGCTGCCGGCTTCCCCGGCCCCTTCTCCCGGGCCTGGGTTTCTCCGACCGGCCCACGTGAGCCCCAGGGGCCTGTCAGGCATCCCAGCGAGGTTCCTGCTAGGGGGGAGCACGGTTCTCTTGTGCGGGAAAGTGCCCGTGAGACTTGCACAGAGGACGGGGAGGGCGTCCTCAGTCCTGGGCTCCCTCTTGCAGGGCCACCCTGGAGCGATGGGCAGCTGGCTACCTGGCCCCTGAAGGAGAGGCCCTTCCCGGCCTTTGGGAAGGGCCGGTTCGCGGTGCCGTGGGCGGGAGAGCCAGAAGAGGGGCCCGAGCCTTAGAACAGCAGGAAGGGCCCCCCCAGGTTCCATCTCCCGCCGACGGTCCCCTGAGCCCGCCAGGAGTAAGTCCTGAGCACCACGGGGTGTGGCCCAAAGGCCAGAAGGAGAGGAAGAGAAAGCGATTTGTTTCAGAGCAGATGTGTATCTAATGCATTCTGCAGCTGCAGCGGTAGTACAGCAGGGGGGGCACTTGCCTTGCACACCGCTGACGCGGGTTCACTCCCAGCACCCCAGGGGGTTCCCCTGAGCACCTCCAGGAGTGATTCTGAGCAGAGAGCTGGGGTGAGCCTTGAGCACAGCCAGCTGTGGCCCAAAAACCATCAACAACAACAGACAGACAGACAGACAGACACACACACACACACACACAGTGCATTCTCTGTTGTTGGTAACTGGCTTAGGTTTTGATGATTATCTTACAGGGCCTCAGACTCCGTAGGCTTGTGAGTGTGCCCGTGTAGAACCGTGTGTGTAGAGTTTGGTTTCCTGTTAGTCGGATGCAGGAGACAAGCAGAGGGAGCGTTTCCATGGATACCGGTGAGGACCGGCAGGCTGCAGCTGGGGAATCGGCGCCTCGCCCTTGAGGCTGTGGATCTTACCCCCCTGGCACGAGGAGGGTCTTGTTCAAAAGACCCTCAGAACCAAAACATCAGCTGGGAAAAGACTTTCGCCCTCCGGAGCGGGGATGACATCGTGGGTTTCAGTTCAGTTGGCAGGCGGGGAAAGCACAGAGCATATCAGTCTTGGTTTTTCACAGCGAGTGCCAGAGAAGGATTGCACAGTACTCGGGATCGTTTTGAACTTCGATTTTTTTCCCCCTTAATTTTCTAGTATTATGAATGTCGACACATTTTCACCATCTAGCTTACCGTATTGTGTTGAGCTATTACTACATAAAACACTTCTTTAAGTGTGCTTTGCCGCTTGGGGCAGCAAGCACGTGCGGTAAAGCAGATGAGAGCAGAGATCTTCTGAGTTGTTTCTCTGGGAGCCCTATATCGCTGTCATCCCCCTGTTCTTCGATTTACTCGAGCAGGCGCCAGTAACGTCTCCATTCGTCCCAGCCCTGAGATTTTAGCAGCCTCTCCTTACTCGTCTTTCCCAACGTATTGGAGGCTCTTTCAGGGTCAGGGGAATGAGACCCGTTATTATTACAGTTTTTGGCATATCAAATACGCCATGGCTAGCTTGCCAGGCTCTCCAAGAGGCATATATGTGTGTGTATAGATATATATATGTAGGCTGGAGCGATAGCACAGCGGGTAGGGCGTTCGCCTTACAAGCGGCCAACATGGCCGACCCGAGTTCGATTCCTCCGCCCCTCTCGGAGAGCCCGGCAAGCTACCGAGAGTATTCGATATGCCAGACACAGTAACAACAAAGTCTCCAATGGAGACGTTACTGGGCCCGCTCGAGCAAATCGACGATCACCGGGAGGGCCTTTACCTTTACCTTTACCTTTACCTTTATCTATACACACACACGGGCTGGAGCGATAGCACAGCATGTAGGGTGTTTGCCTTGCCCGCGGCCAGCCCGACCGAGCTGGGTTCAATTCCTCTGTCCCTCTTGGAGAGCCTGGCAAACTATCAAGAGTATCTCTCCTGCACTGCAAAGCCTGGCAAGCTACCTGTGACGTATTCGATATCCCAAACACAGTAACAAGTCTCACAATGGAGACATTACTGGGCCCGCTCGAGCAAATCGATGAACAATGGGAGGACAGTGCAGTACAGACAGTGCATATATATATAGATATATATATATTAAATATGGTGTGGTAATATATGGAAAATGGGTAAGGAGTGTCTTATGATGTCTTACGATGCGGCCGCGCAGTCCAGGAATATAATGTGTCCACTCATATGTGAGGCTCGGCCCGAGCGTATGGAAAGCGGCCTGGGGCATGACAGCGGTTGGGTAGTGGAGGTTGACTGCCGGGGCTGGGTCCCTTGGGGAGGGGAGGGCTCTCACCCACCCCCCCCCCCTCTGGGGCGTCCCGAGTGAAAACAGCCTGGCGCAGAGCCCGAAAGAGGGGAAAGAACTCCGCTCGACGGACCAGAATGATAGCACAGCAGGGAGGGCACCTGTTTTGCATGTGGCTGACCCAGGTTCGATCCTGGGCACCCCATACAGTGCCCTGAGCCTGCCAGGAGTCAGCCCTGAGCACAGAGCCAGAGGTCAGCCCTGAGCACTTGTTGGGTGTGACCCTCCCCCCCCCCCCCCCACACACACACACACGCCAGAATGCAAAACAAAAGAAGAATGCTGCCTGCTCTGAGCTGGCGATTTCTCAGCGTACTCACAGGGGCAGGAAGAGGCCATTGAGGCAGAGCCCGGTGCACTGGCACTGACCGCTGGCCTGCCGGTCAGCGTGCGTGTCACCTCTCCCGCAGGTGCACATGAAGGACGTCATGTCGGCGCTGTGGGTCTCGGGGCTCGACTCCAGCTACTTGCGGGAGCAGATGCTGAACGAGCCGCTGGTGCGGGAGATCGTCAAGGAGTGCAGCAACATCCCCCTGAGCCAGCCGCAGCAGGGCGAGGCCATGCTGGCCAACTTCAAGCCCCGCGGCTACTCGGAGTGCATCGTGACCGTGGGCGGGGAGGAGCGCGTGTGAGTGGGGCCAGGGGCCTGCGGGGGCTGGACTTGGCGTCTCTTTGGGATTCCGGGGGATGGGGGGTGCCAGACCGCGGCACGCAGGAGGAGCCTGGCGTGGACGGCGTCGCGGGCCATGGGGCATAAGGTGGAAAAGAAAGACGTTTGGCTCGCAGGCAGCCGGCTCTGGCTCTCCGGCCTGGGCCCGGAGAAAGCCCTGAGCGGTGGCGGGGTGTGGGACCCGCAGGGCCGCCTGACACGCTGACCCCCGCAGCTCCCGGAAGCCCACGGCGGCCATGCGGTGCATGTGTCCCCTCTACGACCCGAACCGGCAGCTGTGGATCGAGCTGGCGCCTCTGAGCATGCCCAGGATCAACCACGGCGTCCTCTCGGCAGGTGCGTGCGGCAAGCCCCACCCCCACCCCCACCCCACAGGCTCAGCTTGGGCCGGTCCGCTGTGACCACCTCTGAGACGCGGGGACACTGAAGCGCCCAGCCCCGTCTGCTCGAGCTGAGCCGAGTGACGGGCTGGGCACAGGGAGCCCCTGTGTCCACCTTACCCATTGCCAGAGCCGTTCCAGGGGGAGACCTGGGACTCCCAGGCCTAGAGCCGTTCAGAGTGCTGGGCCTGCTTCCTGGGGGACAGGCTGCGAGAGGCGTCCCTCGGAAGCCCCCGTCCACTTCCTGAGGCTGGGGGGACAGTTTCCATTCTTAGTTGCACCAAAATGGCTTGACAGAAGGTCAAGATTCCTGCACATGGTCTTGTCAGCTTCTCAGAGGTTTAGCCGTGTTTGACCCTAGAGGTGGTGACCCCGGATGTGAGCCCAGGTGTGACCTCGACCCCTTCACTGTCAGATACAGTTTCTCCACACACTGGCAGGGACAGGCCAGTGGAGGACGGAAGTTCCAACATTGTGTGTGTGTGTGTCCTTTGACCTTTGCAGAGGGATTTTTGTTTGTATTTGGGGGCCAAGATGAGAATAAGCAGACGCTGAGCTCAGGAGAAAAGTATGACCCGGACGCGAACACCTGGACGGCCCTGCCCCCGATGCACGAGGTCAGCCTCTCCGCTCGTCGGCGGTTCCTCCTTCCCTTCTTGGTTTCACTTGGAGCAAAAGAACTGAAACCCCGTCCCCGTGCCCAGCCTGTCGGCAGCCATGCCAGCCCAGCCTCCCTTGGCGCCTTTGTCCTCTGGCTTCCTTGGTGTCTGTCCCCGAGCCCCTTGTCTGGAAGGCCCCCGCCCCCCCTCTGCGTGCCCAGACCCGATCTTTGTTTGCTTTTTTGCTTTGGGGGTCACACCTGCGATGCTCAGGGGTTACTCCTGGCTCTGCGCTCAGGAATTACTCCTGGTGGTGCTCGGGGGACCCTGTGGGATGCTGAGGATTGAACCCGGATTGGCCGCATGTAAGGCAAACGCCCTTCCCACTGTGCTATCACTCTGGCCCAGACTCGATCTTTTGAAGTCCATCATGCGAACATTCCGCCACCAGGGACTTACCCTCAGGGCTGCCCTGGCCGGGCACCTTGGGCCTGCTGATGAATAAAGTGTGTCCCTCGAGCTTGGCCAACCGAGATGCCACTGTGGGGTCCCGTCCCTCCTACTGCTGCCACGCCAGGCCTGTGCCCCCTGCTCTCACACACAGACACTTCCTGCCGTGAGCCACCGAGGCTGTCAGTGGCGCTCGCTCTTTCCTGACGGGCGGCGGCCTGGCGCTTTTCTCCCGGCGGGCGTGTGTGACTGGTCGCTCTGGTTACCTGAGCCTCGGTGCTCTCCGTGGGGCAGGGACCTGCCGTGAGCCCGGGTCGTCGGTGTCCTTTCAGGCGAGACACAACTTCGGAATCGTAGAGATCGACGGCATGCTGTACGTCCTGGGCGGTGAGGACGGGGACCGGGAGCTCATCTCCATGGAGTGCTACGACATCTACTCCAAGGCCTGGACCAAGCAGCCCGACCTGACCATGGTCAGGAAGGTGAGCAGCGCCGGTTCGTTCTTCTCTCACCGTGATGTTCTGTCCAGCGTTCCTGGTGCGTGCTGGTTACTGAAACTGAGAGGAACTCGCCCTCGACCTGCCCAGGCCCCGGCCCTCTCTCGCCCTCCGCCCGCTCCCCTTGAGAGGAAGCGTGGGATGTGCATTTGCCCAGATGGTGGCCTGGGTGCCCCCGGTGCTCCCTGGACGCCCTAACATAGGCAACGACCAGGCCCTGGAAACCTTGCAGCGTGCAGGGCATAGTCCCTGTGCCCAGGCTTGTCCGTGGAGCGGCACGTACCTGGCATGCCGGAGACCAGGGTTTGAGCCCCTGCACTGCCAAAAAGAAAAAATTCACTCTGGGGGGGGGGCGTGTCATATGCCACAGTACCCCTGGCTCCCCAGCGCTGAGCCAGGAGTCACCCCAAAACACAACCAAAATGCAAACAGCAGCTTGAGGCTCCCGAGCGTGATGCTGGGGGGCACGGGGCTCCATCACAGCCCACGGTCCCTGCAGCCCCTCGGCACCCGGGTGCACACGCCCGTGCTCTCTCGCTCTCCGCCTGTTGTGCCGTCGTCACTTGGGACAGCTCTTGAGCACCTGCTCCCTCCCGTGCCCTTCGGACCCAGAGCTGCTGGGGAGGGGGACGGGCAAGTGTGAGGCCCAGGGCTCAAATCGCTGCCTCGCGGCCCGTGAACCCCACCAGGTGTGTCCCAGTGGCCCGAGCACTGCCAGGCCCACGCTGCCCAGCAACCGCCCCCGCCCCCCCCGAGTCGAGTCTGACCCCAGAAAACTTAGCCTTTTCCATGCGGGTCATTCGCCGGAAGTGTGGAATCTCTGTAGGTCGCCCCGCTGGCTCCTTCAGGAGGTTTCCGTTGCGTGGCCTCGCCTTGCTGGTCCTCTGAAGCCCGGGTTGTAGCACGACCGCGGCGTTACCGCTGGAACTCGCTCTTAGTATTTTGAGGTTCTGGCGCCTGGCCCGCGTCACCCCATCCGCCTGACGAGAGCCGCTGCTGTCTCCTTCCTCCCAGATCGGCTGCTACGCCGCTATGAAAAAGAAGATCTACGCCATGGGCGGAGGGTCGTACGGGAAGCTCTTTGAGTCTGTGGAGTGCTATGACCCGCGGACCCAGCAGTGGACGGCCATCTGCCCCCTGAAGGAGCGGAGGTGAGGCGTCCCCGGCCCCCGCCCAGGGCCTCCGCCCTGTCCTGCCCCCTCCACTACCCCCTCCTCCTCCCCCCCCCCGTGACCCCAGGCATGTGCTGGCTCCCTGGGAGCAGAGACCCCGTGCTCCAGAGCATTCCCTCTGCAGGGCCCGGGGGGCATTCCCAGCTCGTCCGTCCAGCACTGACCACCGTCTCTCTGTCTGTCTGTCTGTCCAGATTTGGAGCCGTGGCCTGCGGGGTCGCCATGGAGCTGTACGTGTTCGGGGGTGTCCGGAGCCGCGAGGACATCCAGGGCGGCGAGATGGTGACCTGCAAGTCCGAGTTCTACCACGACGAGTTTAAAAGGTGACCCGGGCGGTCGCTCAGGGTTGGCTCCTGGCTTTATTCTCAGGGATCACTCCTGGTGGGCGTGGGAAACCGTATCAGAGGCCAGGGATCGAACCTAGGCTGGCAGCATGCATGGCCAGCCCCCAACCCGCTGCACCGTCGCTCTGGCCCCATGATCAGCTTTTTCTTTCGGGACTGAGACGTGCCGTGGACCAACCTGGACGCTCAGAAAGTGCTTCTGAGACAGAGCTCGGCCCCGACAGTAGCTGCTTCTGGTTACTTACCCGCTCCCCAGAGCTCTAAAAACACGTGTAGGCTCCTCCAGGGTCTTCACGGTCTGCCTGCCCCAGAGGGTTCCAGATACACACCCCTCAGCGCCGAAATCTACCCCCTTTGTGGGGGCAACTGAGGTGTCCCGGGATTGGCACCCAAGGCCGTAACCGGCAGCCTCCGTCCCGGGACGATCCCGCACTCCCTGCCCCTGTGGAGTGCTATGGGACGCCCGTCTGCGCTTCTGGTCCTGTTCAACCCCAGGCTTCACCTGAGCCGCAGTGACAGTCCCCAGAGAGATAGTGCAGTGGGTGGCACACCGGCCTTGTACGCTGCTGATCTCTCGATTCAATCCCCAGCACCGCAGAGGGTCCCGCCAGCCCTGCCAGGACTGATCGTGGGCACAGGGCCAGCAGGAGTAAACCCTCAGCACCACCAGGTTTGGGCCCCAAACCAAAGTCGAGCCCAAAGCGTCCCAATTTGGTGCTATCCCTTTTGTTTAAAATTTCCTTTCCTGTGTATTTTTTGGGGGGGCTGTGGGTACACCCGTTGGTGCTCAGGGATTACTCTTAGCAGGCTCGGAGGGCCATGTGGGATGCTGAGGATCGAACCTGGATCAGCCGCGGGCAAGGCAAATGCCCTCCCTGCTGTGCTGTCGCTCTGAGTCTCCATTCCTGTGTTTATCCAGTTAATCCTTTCAAAACTCTGTTCAGTTGCTCCTACTCTTAACCGTTGCCTCTCTCTCTCTCTCTCTCTCTCTCTCTTTCTCTCTCTCTCCCCCCGCCCGCCCTCCCTTTTTCTCTCTCACCCCCTGCCTCTCCTCTGTCCCTCCTCTTTCTCCCTCTCCCACACTGCCCCCCCACGGTGCTGGCATCAAGCCCAGGGCCTCACGCATGCAAAGCAAGTGCCCTGTTCCTGAGCGGTCCCTGGCCCTAGATCAGCTTTCTCGCCTCCCAGCCTGGCTGTATTCGTCACTCTGGGACCCCGTGACACCCCTCTGTCTCTGTCCTGACTGCAGGTTTCCTCTTGCTCCTCAGGCCCAGGGCCAGCTCAGTGAACTCTGGTCAGACCCGGCCTACATTAGATTCTCAGTAAACGTGATTAGATGGAAGTGTGGTGCCCGTGATCTGGGCATATATGTGGTACTGAGTGGCCGCCTCCGTCTCTTCCCTCCTCTCTCAAGTTTTGTTCTTTGAGGTGGAGGCACCCCACGTGATGCTCGGGGCTGACTCCCGGCTTTACACTCAGGGATCAATCCTGGGGGTGCTCGGGGGACCATATGGGATGGCGGGGATTGAACCGGGTTGGCTGCGTGCACAGCAAGCGCCCTCCACACTGTGTTCTCGCTCTCTCCAGCCTCGCTCGCAAGTTTCACTGTCACCTCAGTGTCTGTTGCGTGTGCTGCCAGGAAACTGCCATGCCCAAATCTCTCTTGAGGGGCGTGCCATACTCTGCTGTTTGACTCCAGAGATTCTAGATTAGGGAAGGCTTATAAGCACTGTAGCACTGTCCTCCCGTTGTTCATCGATTTGCTCGAGCAGGCCCAGTAACATTGTGACATTGCAACTGTGTTTGGCATATCGAATACTTCACGGGGAGCTTGCCAGGGTTTGCCGTGCTGGCGAGATACTCTTGGTAGCTTGCCGGGCTCTCCGAGAGGGGCGGAGGAATCGAACCTGGCTCGGCCAGGCCGGGCTGCACACAAGGCAATCGCAGTGACCAAAATTTTGGAAGTCTCGGTAAACACAACTGACCAGTTTATCAGTGTCTCTCCAATTGAGGCTATTTTAGCTTCGCCTTTGAGTTCTTGCCGCTTGAGTTAGACTAGCAGAGGAAAACGCATCCGACAAAGCGTGAGTGCTAATTTCGAGGGTATTTGCTGCGATGGGGAGCCGGGGAGACTCAGAGGCTTTGCTGTTCTTAATAGATCACCATGACAACTGAGTGTGCAACGTTGAGGGAGAATGTTAATTTCCTGACGGTCTGCCCGATTTCATTAACAGTCGGGGCAGTTTGTTTTCTGGTGAAAGGGTGGGAGAAGCCCTGAGAACACCAATTGCTGTTTGTCAGTTCATGCATCCCAGGGCGATTAGCGTATGGTATCTCAGTCTCCTGTCTTTGTTGTCATGTTTGGGACTTAAGTCTGGCTTTAGAGTTCTCAGTCTGCCTTTGGCATTGCTGTAAATGGTCGGAACTTGCAGTTTGTATCTTGGATGTGTTGTTCTTCGTTGATGAGCCCTCCTTTCTATTTTATACAATTTCTAATTTGCACAAGGAGTATTACTGGGTTTTTTGTTTGGGGGAAGTGGTGCACCCATTGGTGCTCAGGACTTGCTCCTTGCTCTGTGTTCACTCCTGGTGGGGCTCAGGAAACCATCTAAGATGCCGGGATTGAACCCAAGTCAGCTGTGTGTACAGCAAGCGCCCTTCCCGCTGGTCTATCTTGTCAGACCCAGGGATGTGTTCTTAGAAGCTCTTCCAAATAAATACACGTTCCATTGTCTCCTGTGTCTAAGCCCGCCGGTGTAAATGAGATGATGACAGTTTACAGCCCTCCTGGGGAGATGCCCCCTGCCACCTGCCTTCTGGGGGGACAGTCGGGCCCTCAGGGGTCCAGACTCTTCCTTGTCTTAATCTCTTGTCTTTGCTGCCTCTGTTGCCTACTTTCAGGCGAAAACTTCCCTGGACAAATACAGTATCTTCTTCTCTTTTTTGGGGGGAGGAAGAGAGGGGGAGACACACCCAGCATTGCCCGGGCTTACTCCTCGCTCTGTGCTCAGGAATCACTCCAAGCCGAGAATTGAACCCCTTGGCTGGCCGCAAGCAAGGCAAACGCCCCACCTGCTGTCCTACTGCCCTGGCCCTGGGTTGTCACCACAGTTTAAGTAGGAGATGGTGACACCACTCCTGCCCTCACTCACTGCACCATACAGAGGGCGGGAGAGGCCCGTTCCATGCAGCTTCGGCTGCTCCTACTCTTGCTCACGGCCCGGATGGGGCATCTTTCCTCAACCCAGGCCCGGGCCTGGTGCAGCTGCCGGCCTAACGGGTGCTTTTCCTTCCTACCGATCTCGGAGGCCGCCAGGGCCATCTGCTGCCGGGGCGCCTCTGCTCAGTCGCGCTCAGGAGCGGATTCGTCCACAAAAACCGCTTGTTGCACGCCGCTGCCGAGACGCACTGAGGAGCGACAAGCAAGTCTCAAGGACCTTTTAGACCTGTGCTGAGGTGGGGAGGGGGGAGCGAACCCCACCGCGTCCGGGACCTGCTTCAGCCCTGCTCTGATCTGTAAGTACGGGAGGGGGAACTGCCCCCTGTACCAGCCTCCGCGCCCAGAGCACCCAGGGAAGAGGAGTGCATGGTCACTCCGGGCAGAGTCTGGGTTGCCGGGCCCAGAGCTGGTACCAGATGCTGCCTACCACGTGGCAGTGACACTGCGCCAGCAGTACGGTGGCAGAGGGTGGCCAGAGAAGGCAGCTCTCCAGTCCTCTGTCCACAGGGCTGGTGACTGCCCACTTCCTGTGGCCCCTGGGGCTCTCGGGGTCTGGCCCCATATACTGTTTCCTGCCCTGATACTCTGTTTCCTTCCCCAACTGGGCTCTTCCCTGATACACTGTTTTCTTCTCCAGTTGGGGGGTCTTTCCTGATACACTGTTTCCTTTACCAACTGCAGTCTGCCCTGATAGGCTATTTCCTGCTCTAGCTGATACACTGTTTCCGCTCGTCTGGGTTTGTCTCAGATACACTGTTTACTTTCCCAGCTGGGGTCTGCCTTGATACACTGTTTCCTGCCGGATACATTGTTTCCTTTCCCAGCTGGCATCTGTCCCCATTACGCTGTTTCCTTCCTCCTACTTAGCTCGGGATTGATTCCCCTCTGCTCTTTCTGACTTCTTGAGGTGGAACTTTAAATGTTCCTTCAGCTCTGCTATTTCCTCTTCTTCTTCCCGCTGCTGCAAGCCTCTTTTCCTTCCCTTCCTGATCAGGGCTATGGGAACTGCATTCGTGTCCCAGCCTCTGAGTCACCCCGGAGTTGGCGTCTGTGACTGTTGCCCTCAGGAAGAGTGCACATTCTGCTCTGCCTTCACTGAGTAGTTCGGAGTGTGTCCTGAACACTTGGCTGGTGCCTGGTGGAGGCCGGAAGTCTGTGGACATCAGGGCACTGCTCTGAGTGGGTGGCCGTGGGCCTCTTGATGGGGTGGGCTGCAGGCTGTCCCCCTGCCGGGGGGCCCTCGGACCCTCGTTTCAGGTCAGTAGTCCTAGCACGAGCATTTGTGCAGAATTGAGTGGAAGTTTAGGGGTTCTGCTTACTTCTCCTCTTTTGTGGGGGGTGGATTCACCTGGCTGGTCTCAGGGCTTGCTCCTGGCTCTGTACTCATGATCACTCCAGGGGACCATATGGGCTGTTGGGGATTAAACCCTGGTCAGCTGTGTGCAAGGCCAGTGCCCTCCCCTCTGTGCCATCTCTCCAGCCCCCACCCCCTCCCATCTTCTGAGACTCAAAAGTCACTTCGAGTTGTCCCAAGATGTCCTATGCTGCATCCAGGACCCAGAAAGACCCTGAAGTCTTTAGGAGAGGGGGAGTATAGCTATCAAGAATTCACCCCCGCCACTAATCGCTGGTATCCCCACTTTACAGATGACAAACGAACAAGGGTTAAGTTACTGGGCTCACGGCAGGGAAGTGAAAGACTGAGAAAGAAGAACAAGGCCTGTGTCTTTTATACCTGGTTTATAGGTGGCCGCTAAATATGTGATTTGCTCAAATGATCTTATTGTTTCAAATTGAAGCTTTGCTGTTGGTTCAAATAGGCCACCTAGGAAGAATTTTTTTTTTTTTTCTGAAATCCAGAAGCTCCTAAGTATTGATCAGCTTCCAAGCAGACTTGGTAGACAAGCCGCACAGACTAGTTTCTCCAGCTCCGTTTAATCCCACAGTGAGTCGTGTCAAGTTCCCAACCCTGCGGAATGATTCTGAACTTGTCGAGTCTGGAGTCCATTTTCAGTGGATAATGTCGTCATTGCTGCCTGGACCTGGGGGGCCCTGCTCAGAGGGGCGGCTGCCGCGGACAGGGAGAGGGCCCCCAGCTCTGTCTGAGCGAGAACGTCTGAATATAAACACCAGGAGCCTGGAGAGTGTGAAGAGGCCAGTGTCATGTGACATCTTTCAGACTTTTCCTTTCCAGGAGCAGAGCGGAGTACCAACGGGCAGGGCACTTGCCTTGCATGCAAATGACCAGGTCAGGGCCCTGGTACCCCATACCGTCCCCTGGGCCCTGCCGGGTGTTGTGCAAAAGCAAGAAACACTTTTATTTATTTATTTTTAGAACTCTATAAGATTTCTAAAGTTATCTCTTCAGGTTTATTTGGGTCATTTTATTTGTGTTTTTTGTTTGGGGGGGGTCACACCCAGCAATGTTCAGGGGTTCCTCCTGGCTCTGCATTCAGGAATTACTCCTGGCGGTGCTCCGAGGACCATATGGGATGCTGGGGATTGAACCAGGATCGACCGTGTGCAAGGCAAACGCTGTACGATCGCACTGGCCCCTGTTTGGGTCATTTTAGAGTCAGGCCAGACGGCTCCCAGTCCTGGCGAATCACTGGGTCCCTGTCACATTCGGAGGGCGACATGGCTGGAAGCCCCGCCCCGGGCATCGTTTCTGTGTGGTAGGAAGTTTGTCCTCTGTGTTTCTAGACATTCCAGAGATGGAAGCCCCCGGGTGGCCCGCGCTCAGAGAGCTGAAAGGGGCTGAGAAGGGCCTGTTCCACATGCCAGAGCCCACCCGGCACCCAGGAGGGACCCCGCCCCCTAGAAGCTGCTGCTTTGTAGTGTTCTGGGCACAGTGTTGGTTACAGTGAAAGCTGCTCATAGTGACATGCTCTTACCTGCACATCTCCCTCAGAACTGCCGTGGGCCTGAACCCTCTTCACACTCCCCATGTGGCCTGCTGGCGGCACGCCCGCTCCATGCTCTGTCACGAGTGTGGAACTTGGCGGCTGCCAGGGCTTCTGCACAAACAAGCAAGCACACAAAAACGTCTCCTTTCAGTAGGGATTTTTGATTCGTAGTGAAGTTGCAGAAAAAGCTAGAACTCCCGTAATTCACTCGGCTTCTCCCAATGCTGTCATCTTGCCAAAGCAGGATATTCCCATCAGCACCTGTTGCTAGGAAACCACGGGCCGGGTTCGACTCGAGCGCCTGTCAGCCAGCCCCCTTTCCTCTCTCTCTGCTGGAACTCCCCCTGACTCCTGGCTGTGCCTCAGTCTTGTTCCTGTGCTTTGTGCTTGTTGGTGGTGTTTGAATTGTGCTGCCAGGGATGACGCCCAGACCTCGCCTTCTCCCACCGAGCCCCTGGCCAGGGGCTTCCGTCTCTGTCTCTCCTTGTCTTCAAGACCTGGGGAGCCCCAGAGGGCCCTGGCCGGCCTCTCGGACGCCCTTGCTCCGTGGTCTGTGGTTTCCAGTGACCCAGCTGAGGTCGCACAGCTCTGGAGGGACGCCCGGGAAGGGCCAGTGCGCCCTGGCCTGCACCCTGTCCAGCAGTGGTGCTTGGTCACTGGCCCTCTGAGCCTCTTCTTTCCTCTGTGAGGATCTTGGGGCTGCGAGTAGGTATGTGCGTGTCATCCGGGCCCCTGCTAGTGCCGGCCCCATCACTCAGCTACCCCGCAGGGTTTTTCTCCTTCTGCTAAGCAGAATTTGGAATTTCGGAATGATCTGTCCCTTCTCTCCCTACCTTTTTTTGGGGGGGCTCACACCCAGCAACGCTCAGGGGTTACTCCTGGCTCTGCACCTAGGAGTTACTCCTGGCGGTGCTTGGCAGACCATATGGGATGCCGGGATTGAACCCAGGTTGGCCGTCTGCAAGGCAAACTCCCTCCCCGCTGTACTATTGCTCCGGCCTCACTGTACCTTTTTTTTTTTTTTGAGGGGAGCACTTAGGCCGTCTGGGGTGCTACGTACAGGCCGTTCCTGGGTCTGTGCTCAGCGTCACTCCTGGTGGTGCTCAGGGGAGCACCATATGGAATGCCAGGGCTCGAACCCTGCTTAGCTGCAGGCAAAGCAAGCGTCTCACTTGCTGCTCTCTCTCCCCCCTCCCCGGGGCTAAGGATGCGTTCCGTTGTTCACCTCCGTGCCTCTTCTGCGTTGCAGATCTATGGCTGTCAGTGCTCGGGCGCCCACAGAGCTCCAGCCTCGACCACGGGCAGCAGCTTCTCCGGGCTCTGTCCTCCTGCCAAGCGCCGGTCGCCTCCTGCCCGGCACAGGCCGCTCCGGCCGCAGCTTGTTTTCTGCCTCCGCCGTGGGACCAGCCCTTATTCATGGGGCCCTGGATCCTCTTAATGGTCCCTAAATTGATTTTCAACACAAGTGCCAGAGCAATTTTGTAGGGAAAGAAAAATCTTTCCAGCAAATTAGGAAAAGAAATGAACTCGGACTCTAACCTACACCCTGCTCAAAAATTAATTTGAAAGATAGCATGATACACAAATATAAAGGCAGGGACCACAAAATTCCTGGGAAAGAGTACGGGCGGAGAATCTGTGCAACCCGGGAGTAGGAAAGATTTCCTAGGAAAATGAAAGAAAGTGCAGACTATATGAAAGACTATATAAAAGGGGGCTGGAGCGATAGCACAGCGGTAGGGCTTTTGCCTTGCACGCAGCAGACCCGGGTTCGGTTCCCAGCATCCCATAGGGTCCGCCGAGCACCTCCAGGAGTAATTCCTAAGTGCATGAACCGGGAGTAACCCCTGAGCATCGCTGGGTGTGACCCAAAAAGAAAAAAAAAAAAAGACTACATAAAAGCAGGGCAACAAATGCTTTAGGATCACCCAAATCAAAGGCTCCTATTCCTCGGGAAACTTCCTTTAAAAACTGAGAAGGTGGGCTGGAGCCGACCCTGGTTCTACCGCTGGTGCCGCATATGGCCCCTGAGCACTGCCAGGTACGGCCCCCACCCCCAACCCCGCCCTGCCAAAAAAACAACCAAAACAGCAGAGTAGGCGTCTGACAGGGTACATGAGGTAGGCGATAAGTCCAGGGACTCGCTTGCTCTGTGCAGAGAAATGTGGGCTGTGAAGGCTTTCTGTGCCTGTGGAGCGGGTCTGCATCTCGCCTCGTCCAGCTCATTCCTAGACGCTCTCAGGTGGTGTTTTGTGAATGTTCATCTAACAGCGAGTAGCCTTATCCCCGCAATGAACGAGGCTTCTCTTTTAAAGTGCATGTACTTGGGGCTGGAGCGGTAGTCCAGTGGGTAGGGCATTTGCCTTGCATGCAGCTGACCCGGGTTCGATCCCCAGCATCCCATTTGGTTCGTTCCCCAAGCACCACCAGGAGTAATTCCTGAGTGCAGACCCAGGAGTAACCCTGAGCATCGCTGGTGTAACCCAAAAAGCCAAAACATAAAAGAAAAAAAAAAAATGAAGTGCAAGAGCTGGAGTGATAGCACAGCAGGGAGGGCGTTTGCCCTGCACGCAGCCGACCCAGGGTCAATCCCCAGCATTCTGCATGGTCCCCCGAGCATCACCAGGAGTAATTCCTGAGTGCAGACCCAGGAGTAACCCTGAGCATCGCTGGTGTAACCCAAAAAGCCAAAACATAAAAGAAAAAAAAAAATGAAGTGCAAGAGCTGGAGTGATAGCACAGCAGGGAGGGCGTTTGCCCTGCACGCAGCCGACCCAGGGTCAATCCCCAGCATTCTGCATGGTCCCCCGAGCATCACCAGGAGTAATTCCTGAGTGCAGAGCCAGGAGTAACCCCTGAGGATTGCCGCGTGTGACCCAAAAAGCAAACTAAGTAAATAAAGTGCACATATTGGAAGCACAACCGGCGAAGATGGAACGTGCCGGGAAACGAAACAGTGGGCACGTCGAGGCAGACAGAGCCGTCCAGCAAGGGCGCGCCCTCCTGGCGTCCTGTCCCCGGATGCGGCGCCTCATTCCGCCTGTCCTGTGTTTCCAGGTGGATCTACCTGAACGACCAGAACCTCTGCATCCCCGCCAGCTCCTCGTTTGTGTACGGGGCCGTGCCCATCGGCGCCAGCATCTACGTCATCGGAGACCTGGACACGGGTAAGTGCGTGTGCGGCGCCTCGGTCCCGGGGGCTGCCCGGCGGGGGCCCCCGGCCGCGGCTCTCACCCGGCCCCTTCTCGCGGCGCAGGCACCAACTACGACTACGTGCGCGAGTTCAAGAGGAGCACGGGCACCTGGCACCACACCAAGCCGCTGCTGCCGTCCGACCTGCGACGCACAGGCTGCGCGGCCCTGCGCATCGCCAACTGCAAGCTCTTCCGCCTGCAGCTGCAGCAGGGCCTGTTCCGGATCCGGGTGCACTCGCCGTGACCGGGACCGGGCCGCAGCAGAGCCTGACCCAGTGCGCCGGGACACGCCGCCTCGGCACGGACAGAGGCGGCCGCCCGTGTACGGTACCGCCGCTGGCTGGCCCCGGCGCGCGTGCTTGGCCCTCGGTTCCTGTTGGGGAGGGCGCTGGGGAGGGGGCGGTGTGGCGACGGGCCCCGTCGACAGACAGAGGCTGGAAAACGTCCACCAAAGGCAAACGGAAGTGGGTCTCAGGCCAGGCCCCCAGTGGAGCCTTGTGGGTGCAGCCGCAGACCCTAGCCGTGGCCCGCAGCGCCACGAGGAGCCACACGTGCAGATCAACATGCCCAAACATGCCTCGGTCGCTTCTCCCTGCTCCTGGAGGGACTCTGTGGGCTCGGTCCTGCCCGGCAGGCGCGGGTCTGTGTCCAGCGCGGCTGCCCAGACTCCGTGCCAGCCCGTCTCCATCTGCCACTAGTGCTCTAAACCCTTCACACCATCCCGGTGACCCGAGACCGAGCTCCGGTCTTCCTGTTGGAGCGTTCTGTCCTGGGGACCTGGAGGCGCAGCGGCTGACCCCGCCGGAAGGTCCCCCCCATGGCGGAGGCTCCCCGGGGTGGCGCTCGGTGCCGGGAGGGTGTGCGCGTCACCGGCCTTTCTTTGCGACTGCTCGAAACCGTTTTCCTAAGGGGGAGGTATTGGTGAGAAGCCCTGGGGTCTGCTGGGACCGAGACAGGACGCCCAGCCGAGAGGCAGAGGGATCGAACGGGAGCTGCAGCGGCGCTGCGGGGGGTCGGGGGGCCTCCCCCACACACACACCCGAAAGCACACACAGTCTTGTTTACTACCGCTTTGGCTCTGAAACCCGGCCTTCGAGGCAAGCCTGCGATAAGAATCTAGTCTTTTGTAGAATTTTTCTCAGTGTTGTTGACTATTAAGAGTTTTAGACAAGTTATGTTATGAGTCAAGTTTGCCTGGTAGAGTCAACTACCTCAACTTAATTTCCTTCTGTTCCTGGTAGAGCAAAGAGAACCTTTGCCCCCTCCCCTCCCCCCCTTTGTTGCCCCTCCCCAACCCTCCCACCCTCTTCCCCTGGGGGGGGAGAAGGACTGTTCCTGGTAGCACTTAGCAGAGAAAGTGCTTTGCTTCCCAGGCAAGTGGTAGCACCTTGGTGTGAATTTCGGGAATTCAAAGTACTTGATTAATGTTCCTTCATTGGTTGACTTTTATGCAATATCAGATTTCTAATGAATTGAAGAATTCTTTGTTTATAATTATTTTCTATAGATTTTTTTCACTTAGGGTCTGGCTATAAGAAGCAGCATTTTATCTTGATGATGAATAAATGTATAAATGTATCCTTTGGTTCTACATCTGAGAGGACTGGACGGGAATGGCTTCTAAAAGCTTCCTGAGTGGACTGTCCGCGTGCTGCTCTGGGTGCCGGAGGCAGTGCCCGGCTCCTGCCGAGAGCAACCACAGAGCAGGGACCTGGCCCCTCGCTCGGGGGCCTGTTCCAAGGCCGAGTCCTGCAGGGTGCGGAAAGGCGCCTCACCTGGGGGTGCCAGGGAGGGGATGTGGGGCACCGTCACGGCCCCAGGTCAGAGGCACTGGGCCAGGTGTGCGTGCCTGCAACCCCGTCACACATGGTGGGGACTCGGGGATACTTATATGGGCCCTGCCCTGGGGGCTGCACCCTCCCGGGGACCCCTGGGCACAGTTGGCAGGGCCAGCTGCGTGGCCACTGTGGACAAAGACGCTTTCTCTCTCCGGCCTAGTTTGCGAGGGAGGGAGTCTTCTCTGGCGGGCGCCTGGCTGCTGCCTCGGACCTTGTTCTCCTTACCCACAAGACTCAGTTCCCTCTGCCTCCACCAGGCCCCTCCGAGGAGGCTCTCGGTCCTTCAGGAGTGGACGGGTCCCCCTTGCAATGTCCGCAGTGCCTGTGTGAGCCGGTCGGTCACTTTAGAAAACAGAGCAGTCTCTTTTTTTCAATTCAGTTCCTGGACACTGTAGCTGCAGAAATTAGGCGCTATTTTCTATTCCAAGCAGTTTGCCAGGAAATATGGGCTGCAGTAACCAACAAAAGCTGCTGAGTGCCAAACTGTTCTTTTACTGTACTTCAATCTGAACGGATGGTGTCGACATGTTCTAGGGAGGGATTTAATTTTACTGTGTTACAAAATGAACTATGACCCTTGGGAAATGACCCTCGTTTCAGTGTTGTGCATAGATGTTAAGCCCCTTCTGCAGGTTCGTGTTTTAACATTCCGTGTATGCCCTGAAACGTCTTTTATTGATGAATTTTGGGGGGTCCTTCTCCTTCAGGCACTTTGACCAGATGTATTTAGAATTAGTGGCTGAGGGCCTATCTTAAAGTTGTTTTAAGTCTGATTATCTTTGGGGGAAGTGCAATTCATTTTCCTTATCCCACCAACAGAAGGAAAATTGTCTCAGGTTAGAGTAGGGGAATATTTCCAGGATCTCTCCTCGGCTACAGTCTAGAGTGAGTTGTTTGTTTCTTCTCTTAACACATCCAAATATAGATTTTCTTTTCAGAGATTTAAGTGTTTCATTTGAAGTGAAGTTAGTTTTGGTTTGTGTGAGTACTTACATCCCGTGAGAGGGAAAGTGTGAGGTGTGTCTGTGTGTGTCTGTGCGTGTCGGTGTGTGTGATGTAACTCAGTTGGTACTAGTCCTTTTTGAATTGTAGTTCTAAACTACACAGATGACCGTCTCCTGGTGCTTCCATTTATACTACTGTGTAAAACTCCCGTGGACTGTAAATATTAAAATAGTTCTAGTTTGCAGTAAGTTTTCTTTGGTGTTTGCATTTCTCTGCTTCACTGGGCTGATACACAAGTGTTTACTAGCTAGTCGTTGGTCTGCGATCAAGATTCGGCATAAGAAATTTCTAACTAATTCCTTACTTCGTACAATAATCCCCCATCCTGTGAGGAACGGCGAGTCAGTGGTAATTTTCCCCCAAAAGGCGCGTGGGGAGATGGGTGGTCTCACGTGTGTGGAGAAGCTCCTTTTCACTCTCTCTGTTCCCATCTCTCTGTCAGGGGTGGGGGTGTCCGTGGGCGTGTGCCGGAAAGGGGGGCACTGTCTTGCCCGGGACCCAAGTTCCTCGTGGGCAGTGAGCCGGGTGTTTGAGGTGTGAGGGGTTTAGGGGGTCCCTGCGGTGTGACCCAACTTCCTGGGCCCAAGAGGGGCACCCAGAGTTTCGCAGAGTTCCTTTTCCCCGTTAGGCACCTGACCGGGTGCATTTGGCCTGAGTGGACCCCGCTCGGGTTTCTCAAGTACAGACTTCGTGGGGGAAAGAGCTGCCCGGTGACAAGCACCAGCCAAGCGTCCTGCTGGCCTCTCCGGCCGGGTGCCCCTGTGGCCACCCTGGCTTCTCCATGGCCCTGGACTTAAGCAGGGTACCTGGGTGCAGCGACACCGCCCGGTCCCCAGGGGACAGGGCGGCTCGGCCTGGTGGTCACGGCTCCCTTATCCATCACGAGGACAAAGACCTAAGAGACTTGGGGGGGATTTTTTTTTTCAGGTTAAACCAGGGAGCTGGGCCTAAATATGACTCTGCCTCTTGCTTCATCACGTTTCCTGTTTAATTGGATGAGAATTACGCGCACTTAATTCCCTTGTTCTCCGTGTTTATAGGAAAAACTGTTCTCGGCTACCTCATTATGGAGTGCTGGCTTGGTCCCCTGCCAATTCAGAAGAATCCAACACATTCTGTCCTGTAACAAAAACCTGGAAGCAAGCACTGAGGGCCTTGAGGAATACAGTCCTCTGAGGCGTATTTTCCATTTTACCACTGCGTGTGTGTGTGCGTGTGTGTGTGTGTGTGTGTGTGTTTAAATAGGCACTTTTAATCAGGAGGAGCAATGATTCTCCTAGAGCTGCTGCACGGTGATTACTTGAACCCCAGCGGAGCGTTCGTGAGTCTCTGGAAGGTTCTGTCTCCCGACGGTGGGAGAGTGGCAGAGCTGAGCAGACAGCAGGCAAGCCAGGAGGCCGTCTCGCCCCGCGCAGTGAGCTCGGCCCTCGGATGCTGGCGGCTGCTCCCCTGCGAGGTGCTTGTGTGCGAGTTTCGGGGTCTCCGAGTGTCCTTTTGCAGACCTGTTTCCTGCAGGCTCGGGGCCCGGCATCCTGCATGCGCCGGCCTCCCCGGTCAATTAGTGGAGGGGGCCCGGGAGGCCAGCTGGGCCTCAGAGGCTCCCCTGGGTCTGCCCCCCAGGTAAAGGCTTTGTGTCCCAAGGGCTCAGACAGAGGCGTCAAGCCCCGCCCGCGGGGAGGGGTGGCCGGTGCCCCAGGTTGCTCTGGGTCTTGTACGCGCCAAGGTCCTGCGAGCCGGCCCAAGTGTGCCCCTGAGGCCCCCAGGAAGCGGCTCTTCTCTCGCCTCCCTTTGCCTTGCATCTGGGCTGTTGTGTGAGTGAAACTGAGCAAAGCCTGTGTCCCCAGTGCGTGTGTGTGTGTGTGTGTGTGCGTGCGTGTCTGAGTACACATGTGTCTGAGCACATCTGTGTGTGCGCCTCTGCACTCGTCTGCATGAGCACGTGTGCGTGTCTTTGCGAGTGTACTTGTGTGCATCTGTGTTCACATATCTGCATGTGCAGGTCAGCATATGTGCGTGTACGTATGTGTGCGTGCATGCATGTATCTGCTTGTGCGCGTGTGTCCGCATGCGTGTGTACATGGCAGAGAAGGGGTGAGTGGTATGCAGGGGTGCGGTGGAGCGGGCTCTGTGACCGTTCCTTGTGCCGCTCCCTCTGCGGTCCGGACGCAGCTTCTCCCGCCGTCAGACACGCATGAAGCGGGCTGGGGCGGTGCCGCTGGCCCTCTGGCCTTATCGACATTCTTACTGGAACCAGAGAAGGGAGTGGGGGCGCCCGGGGCCCCCCGCCGTTGCCTCTGTCTCGGCTAGGACTGAGGAGGGAAGGAAGCGGAGCCCGGCCAGGGGCCTCAGGCCTCTCAACCCCACTCAGCTCCTCGGACCCCTGCCCCTGCTGTGGGTTGCTCCTCCCCCACCGGAGACTGTGGGAACGGGGTGCCCCAGCACCGCCTGCCCGGGTGGGCTCTCCGCAGCCCCTGGACGTGTGTCCACTTGGACAGAGGGTCTTGTCCCCACCATCCGGGGGCACCTCATCCCCACCTGCCGCTTTTCCCATGCTGCGAGCCCCCCCAGGCTGGGCCTCTGGGCTCAGCAGGCTGGCGTCTCTGTCCGTGAGGGCGCAGCCCTGCTCCGGGCCTCCGAGGGCACAGGGGGCCCCTCGTGCCCCCAGTCCCCAGCCCCCAGCTGCCTCTGTCCCCCGCGGCACGGCAGAGCGATCGGAGCTGGGGGCCCTGGTGCAGGAGAAGTGGGGGCCACCCACAGCCCAGACCCGGCGCTCTGGGGCTGCGCGTCCTACCTCAGCACTCGCCCCGAGGCACCGTGTGCCCTGGCTTTGGTGTGCCCCGGGCCCCCCCCACGCCGCCCCCTATGCAGCAGGCTCCTGAGAGCAGCACGAGCCCCCACCTCTGTGCTGGCTGGACCCTGGCTTTGGGGCCGCCTGTGCCCCCCACCCGCCTCTGCCCTGCGTGTCCTCAGCGGGCATTTGTGGTGGCCAAGAGGTGCCAGAGAACTTGCCTCGCGTGTCCTGTGTGTTCAGTCCCCTCCCGGGGCGGGCAGAGGGTTCCTGCACGCCACAGCCCAGTGTCCGCTTCCTGTCAGTGCCTCCAGGCAGCCTTCCAGCTCTGCGGCCCCTCCCTTGGCCAGTCAGCAGATTGGGGGGGGGGGGTCCGCTGGCCTCAGGCTGGGGAGCAGCGCCCCCAGATCCCAGGGCTGCCTCCTCCAGCAGCAGCGCCTTCTTTGGACTTGGCAGCTCAGCTCTTGGGGGGTGGGGGGGCGTCTCACACCCTGCTACCCTCCGGTCCGGGACATGGAGGGGCTGCTTTTGTTTCAGATCAGAACATCGATGAATTATGGACCACCTAAAAAAAAATCTTTGTGGAGGGGCAGAAACTTGGGGTGACCCATGGGGGGTGCCCCCGCCTCCCCCACTGCTGTCTCACCTCATCTCATGCTCCGCCGACAGCCATCGGGGTCTCCCCGGGAAGGGGCCACCTCCAGGGAACTCCCTGGAACAGATGGACTCTCGGGCCTGTGCAGCGCGGCCGCCCTTGGTCTGTGCCGACAGGTTCCCCGGGCCGCGGAGCCCTTTCCAGTGCGTCCGTCCCTAACACCCCCATGCCCTCAGCCAGCCCGTGTGCTCTGCCCCTTTCTGGGTCAAACCTCTGCGGGCTCTACCGAGGTCGGTTCCAAGCCAAGAAGTCCGCTTAGACGCGGGCCGAGCTGGGGCCTCTGTGGGAGCCAGACAGAGAGCACGGAGGCTTGGTGCTGGCCTGGCCTCCTGCGGACCCTGGTTCAAATCCCGGCACCATGTGCTCCCCTGAGCACCGCCAGGGGCCGGGAGTAGCTGGCCCTGAGCACCCTCCCTCCCCCGCCACCCAAACCTGGACCGGCCCTGGGGACCAGAGACAGCTTTGGGTGGGGGAGCGCTCTGCGGGAGGCTGGGACTGGGCTCCAGCCCCACCGGGAGGGATCCCGAGCCCTCGGGCCATGGCCCCAAAGCAGGAACGAGCAGCAAAGGCTGTGCTGGCAGCCTGTATTGCTCTACCCGGCCCCCAGGTGTCCGTATCGCAGTGGCGCCCCCCCCCCCCCCGTCCTGTGTCCAGTTTGGGTGTGTGTCGTGTAGTGGGTTCTCGGTCGCTCTGCTGGTGAGACACGCAGTGTCGGGGGGGACCATCTGGCTAGCAGCAGCCCTGCCCCAGGGGTCCTTGGAGCGTGCCCCGGGCCCGCTGTGCCACCTGAGGCTGGGGGAAGGTGTTTTCTCTTTTCTATGTAGTTTCCTATCTGATGGGATTTTATAACTGTAAGAAAAATGAAACCGTGTTGTATTTGGATCCGAAATTTGCGTTTGGTAAAGTAAACCGTTTTCTGTATTGGAAGTTCATTTCAAACTTGACACATTTTCTAGAGTGGTGTGACCAACAACAAAAAAAAAAAGAGCTGTTTGACAATAAAATGTTGGCTGGGAAGCCCTCCTGAGTGGTATCGTTTCTCCCGCCGGCCGCGTGACGGAATCGGGCGTCTCCGAGCGCCCGGGCTCAGATAGCCGCGCTTCCCACATTCCTTGTCCAGGGGTGCTGGGGACTCACTTCTGGAGCAGGACTGGCCGCACCCCTGGACCACCAGGAGGGGAGCAGGAAGTGGGGTGGTCCTCTGCAGCCCGAGGCCACATGGGGGCTGGCGGGTGGAGTTTTCTTTTTTACCAGGTCCCATCCTTGTGTCTTTGGGGGCTGGGGGGCTGCCGTGGGGTGCTTCCTGGAAGCAGTGTCTTCACCTCCCCCCCCCCCCCCCCCCCCGTCCTGGCTACTCCCACTCGCCCACAGACCCTCCGCCCCCTCAGCATCCTCGTTTCTTGCCTCAAACATGAGCCGACATGACTGGAACCTCCTCCCCTCCCGTGGACCCAGCCTGGCCCTGCAGTGACCCCGTCCGGAGTGACCCCCAG